TTTTTTTTTTTTTTTTTTTCAAGTAACTAACTTGAAGATCTATAGACCTATGTCATTCCTGATCTGAAAAATAAAAGGTGCCCTATTTGCAAGTGAAAAGAACATGAGGTGACTTACCTTCAACTTTGCCAAGAGCAAGAATGCTGATGGTCATGACTCCAGGTACTCCCCACGCCGCAAGATGAAAGTAGTGCGAGTTGGCTTCAATGGCTTCATGGCCCCACTTGAGCCCTGCCGCCAAGAACCAGGTGAGTGTTAACACCACCCACCAGATACTTGACGACATGCTGAAGAAGTAGAGCACCATGAAAAGGATGGTGCACAGCCGGTTGTCAGTTCCTTGTGTAATTAAAGGTGGTCGCTAGAGAGAGAGAAAATTCTGTCAGTTGACAGTCACAAGTGCAGAAGCAAGGAAGTAGTGAGACAAAAACAACTTACCGGTACAGAGCCAAAGTCAGGGTTTTGACGAGGTTCAACCTTTTCACAGGCTATAGTGTCGCCAGCAGCGTATCCAAACACATAGGCAAGGGCCACCATAAGGTAACACACTGACAGAAAAATTATTGGTCTTTCTGGGTATCTAAAGCGGTCAGTGTCAATCATGAAGGTCAAGACGGTAAACAGACAAGATGCTGCACACACAACTGACCAGCCTCCAACCCATCTTCTTGCAAATGCTCTTTGATCGTCATTGAAAAACATACTATGACATGGAGCCCCACAGTTCTTCTCAACTTTGTCTCCTACTTTCAGGGTATAGTTGCGCCTCTCAGCAACACTAAAGTGAACAGGGCACGTAAAGCCAAGGTTGTGGTTGTGTGGCTGTTGAGGAGGGTTGGACCCATAGTTTCTACTAGAGCCTGGATTTCCATGAACATTTCCTACAGAAACTGTTGATCCCCCACCAGTGTCCATACTTGCTGTCGTATTTTCTCCAACACACAGCTCTGAGCCACCTGATTCAGGGAAGCGCTCACAGTCAAGGTTTTCAGGCCATGGGAAGCCAAACTTCATCATGAGCTGCTCGCAGCCCTGCCTGGAGGACCTGCACAGGCTTCGACAAGGGGGGATGGCCTTGTCCAGGATGGTGCACACTGGCGCGTACATGGAGCACAGGAAAAACTGCAGGTCAGGGCTGCACTTGACTTTGACAAGTGGGAAGAACTGGTGCACCTCCAGACCGGCATCCTCCTGCCGCTGATGGTTCAGCAGATTGGGCATGATGGTTTCGTTGTAGGCGATGTCAAGGCAGAACGGAATGGTGATCCTCTCACACCGGCCGTGGTGGGGCAGGCTGTCCTGCCCGAGAGTCTGCATCGACTGCGACGCGCCGTCCTGCCCAAGCTGGCCCTGTCCAGGCCCCACAACCGAGGGGCGGGCCTTGATCCTCGAGGCCATGCCGCTGCTGCACGGCGGGGCGGTGAACGCCAGCAGCAGGGCCACCAGGGCCCCGCACCAGCGCGTCATCGCGGGCACAACACGGGGCAACATAACCTCACTCTTCCACTGCACCGCGCATCTCGCACTGCACGGCTCAGCCCGCGCCTAATCCAGCCAGCACGGGCCACAGGGACACAACCGGATAAGATATCCAAACACCTTCCCTTCGCCGAGCGAACGGCCGAGCGGGGGGGAAGTCGAGCGCGGATGATCACAAAGCACGGGGCCGATCACCCCCGCGAAGACGGCCGCCGTCCTGCCCGGGGGACCATGGCGGGCCCTCGTCCTTTCTTCAGTAAATCCAAGAGGAGGAGAACTCGGCGCTGTGCACCCTCGGGCCGCGCGACGGCACTCGGCTGCACGGCTGGGGCGGTGCGGCGGTCCCCAGGGGAGCGAAAATACACAAACTCCGCGTCGGACACAAACGTAAACACAACACGGCCCCCCGCCGGACAGGCCGCCTCGCGCCGCGAGTACGAGCGCGACAAAACAGGACACGGGCGCCACCTGCAGCGGGCAAGTCTGCCTTGAAACTGACTGAAAGAAGAAAAGCCGAAGAGCGAAGAGCCGAGGCCGAAGCCCACCGAAGCCGATCCGAGCCGACTGGGGCGCTGCTGCTGCGGGATGTGGGCGAACTAGCCTGAGCCGAGGCCGAGCCCCGAGCCGAAGGACCACTAGCCGAAGCCGAAGACAAGCCCAGAGGTGGGAGGGAGAGGAGGGAGAGGCGGGGGTCCTGGATGGTCATAGTCCTGGAGGTCCTTAGGTGTCCTGAAAGCCCTCCTGGAATTGACGACTTCGCAGGGCAGCACTCATCCACATTTTGGGGGTCTGTGCAATTGGTTACTCCAACTTTCCCAGTCACCTCTGTAACTGCCGTCGAAAGTAAAGAAATACAGACATTCCATTCACTAGTTATGGAACGCGATGTGGTATCAGCAAATTAACTGATGGGAGCAGGACGAAAGGAGAAGCCACAATGCATAATGAAAAAAAATTACTTGCTATATTTATTGAAATTATTTACAGATGAGAATATATCATCTACATCATTCATTCATCACTTCAGTCAACAAGTTTAGCCTTACATGGCAAGTGAGTAGCTCCAGGTGGAAACTACTATAAGAGCTAATTTTGAGTTTTTTTTCTTTTTTAAGTAAAAAGTTCCAATGTGGAATGCGTACAGAAAATATGCATCAATGCATCTATTTTAACAACAAACAGGGCACATGAGGTGATCTTCCTACAGCTCTACTATGGAGGGCATTTCACACCATTCTTACTGCTAAGAATGATCCATTTGCAGTGTCTGTAACATAATTGCTGTGCTAAAATGCACATTACTGAAAACTGTTCAAATAAATATAGAACTAGATATGATTTATCTAGCCTTCCCTGGTTCACCATCTGCCTCTCCACCTCTCAGGAACTGTAGATGGGATTACATGCACACTGCAAATGAAATCTCACAGGCCCGGTTTGTGTCACAGCCAAAACCATGTTGCCATACGTCAACAATGGATATACATTTTTTTACCAAATGTACACATTAA